TTTTTTTTCTTTGAGGATTAACCTTTTTTTTTTTTTTTTTTTTTTTTATCCTGGGATCTCCCAGGGTCAAAAAAACCCTCATGCTACCAGGTAGCAGCATGGGGAACACTTGCATGTGTAGTGTGTGTAGCATACCACGAATCTGCGCCTGCTGGACGTGGACAAAGATTTCAAATAGGAATCTACAGTGTTAAAAACATTCTGACCTGTTGTGGTCTTTGCAACAGAAGAATTGCCCTATTATTTTTCTGTTGTCAAAAAAACAAGGGAAACCTATGTGCTGGCACTTTCCAAGGGGTGCCTTGAGTCTATTCAGGGGGCCCTTCAGTCTGAAATGATTGAAAATCACTGGTCTAGGTACCATTGGCAAAGAGCCTACTTTCCTGTTAGGAACTAAGGAACAGAGTGCCTGGGTTTCTATTAGAATTATGTCCCTGGACATTGTAAACTGTACTCATTTAGCCTCTGGCTAGTATAGCCCAGGTAACTTGAGTATATACTCCCCTTCTCCAATTGAAGGAAATTGTTAGCTGGCAGGTGTGATGTGGGGGAACTGCAGACCACTCAGTTTCCCTCCATCCCTATAGAACCAGGCCAGGACAGTCAGGGGACTTAACTATATACAAATATATTTACATTAACTTATCACAAGGAAAAGAACCATGGATATAAACATATATACTATACACACACACACTTTTTAAATATATATATATGTTTAAACAAATAACATAGACAATACCCTCTGGGTAAATGCTATAAAACCTTACACCAGCGCTCCAGATACAGGCATCTGATCTGAAACAGATGAACCCAAAAATAAACATAGATAGCCAACAGATAAGTTATAGATAAGTATGGGTGAACAATAAATAAGCCACAAATAAATGCAAATAAACAATAGGTGAAATAATAGCAACAGGGGGTCCCAGCAGAGCCCTAGGACTCTACTCATCTACTAATTTACAAACATGAGAGTTCACAAAATATAAGACATGACATCACACCACTTATGGCACAAGAAACCCAAAGATAAACTTA